TTTGTACATTAACCTATTATATCCTTTAATTATCACAACTAATAACTGATCCAAGTTTCAATATATCTATCTTTAATTTACTAAATAAATAGTATTTGTTATTTGGCGATTTGTTAAACTATCAATTTCATGTTCGAAATATATTTTATTATGTTACTTCAAAATGATTGTAAATGATAACATTTTCAAATTCTATTCCAATACTTGAAATAAAAGGATTACTTAGCAGTAAGATGGATGGCACCAGAGTGTTTGATGACAACGAAATGTTATACTTCAAAATGTGAAGGTTGGTATTATGGGATTCTGTTGTGGGAATTATTCAGTTTGGGTAATTCACCATAACCTGGATTAGATAATGGACAAAAAATCAACTGGTTAAATAATGGAAATCGTAATACTAGACCATACCTATACACCAACTCAATCTACCAGTTGATGCTAGAGTGCTGGTCACAAGATACCGATAGTCGACCAAGATTTTATGACATTTGTAACCGAATTGCTGAAATGAAATACAGTTATGAGGACCCGAAGGAAAACAATGATTCAATGAAGGTACGTTAACATTTGCATAAATCTTGGCTTTATAATGAAAATGTTGCATTGGGGGTATAATAAGCGGTAATGTTCAGAATCAGGTGTGTCGTGTGAAGACGAACTGTGCGTACATTTAACTGTATATACATTCATTGATTCATTTAAAAATTGAGAATGTCGGCTTATTTGTTCACTTTTTTTAACATTTCATAAGTAGGGATACGTTGAATTAATGTTGGAGCACGAAGATTACTTGGAACCGCGACAGTATTTACACTAGGAAAAAGAAACCAACATTCATTTCACAAGAATATAAAATTATGTACAGATACATTTATTACTATCAGTATTATTACTTTTTTATTATTATTACCATTTTTATTATTATCATTATTATTTTTATAACTATCACTATTAGTAAAACTATGATTGCAATAATCTAGTACTCCTTTTGGATTTTTATTGTGTATCTGTTTCACCATGTATTTGTCTATGTTCTGTGTGTTATGTGTGTGTATATGTCTTCTTATTTATTTCCATTCTAAGCACATATGTAAATGAGCACACTTTTCATAGACTCGAAATATTTGCCAACATATTTTTCTATTCATATTTTGTATAAAACTAACGACTCTTTCTTCTTTAGATATAATTATCCATTATTATTATTATTATTCCCAGTTGTCTTTTAATATGTAAACCTTTTTCAATGTACTTTTTTGTTATACTGATAATACTTACTAGTTGGAAGGGGGATCAAGCACTTTTTTAAAACATTGTATTATCGGTTTTATGAGTACCCTATTTTTAAATAAATTAACCTATACAATTTTGTATTACTGATTATTACTATTGTTATTATTATAGATATTACATATTTCTACTTCAATTTTAATAAGATAAACGTGTTATATTGAAATAAATGTCCAAAATAAATAGCTCTGTACGTTTTCGACATTGGATGGTGACCACATTAGTTTTAGTGGACTCACCTAGCTGAAGGCACTCGGTCATGCATCCGCACCAGATCACAAGTGGGAACGCCGTGCTCAACATCTGCTGAAATCGCTAGCTAGACTAGATCAGACAATTCTGATATATTGAAAAACGTCAGATACAACTTCTGATCTCTTCGATTCTGTCTTTTGATTTCTCTTGGTGTGTACGCTTCATATTAGAAGGTGTTACTGGTTGAAGCGTTGTCAAACACTGAATACATGTGCCATCTTCAATAATAACCGTTATGTAAATGTTACTTGAAAGCTCCTTATGACATAGCCACCGAAAATGGAGCTTTCTCGATCAGCAAATGTTCATCTTCACAGTCAACACTGATTACTTGAAGTATAAATCCGATAGCATTACTGTATGATAATTCAGGCCAAGAGTCCAATGTAGTGTACAGCTGCCCAAAATGATATGAGAATATTGTTATCTTGAAACAAAAGCCGTGGCCAATAAATCGGAAAAGTGAATGACTTAAATGAAATTTACTTTAAAATCGACAGTAGTGTGTTTATCTGATGGACTTAGTGACATTTCACTGACCCTATGTGCTCGTTAATAATGTCTATTCACAGTTGGTACACATAAAGAACAATGATTAAGCAAAATTCATCGCAAATAAAGAAAAGATATGGTCCTAGATTTGTGGTTACATAAATTATTAGGAATACTTGTTAGTATTTGTTAGTAGTCACGCCAAACATTTGACTTCAAGGTCTTAGCAATCGTCCCTCGGATGTGTGGTTTACTGTGTCCAGGCGATCACGTGGTTTTAAAATAATCTTGTTCATGATTGTAATATCAAGGTTTTAGTACGGAATTTGAAAAAAAGTATTGTTATAAATTTTGAACTTCACTGCATCACGAATCTACTAACCTCTAGAGATAACCGGATCTATATCCTCTATCGTAAGGGTAAGGTAATTACCTTACCTACTATATTGTACAGCTTTAGTAGGACGCCCTAAAATCTTAATCTGTTTTGTGAATCTAGAGAAAGTGAAGATGTATTAACTGCGTAACATACTAGGACTTGAGATATGGACTTTAGGATCCTAGGATGCAAGCTTGCGTCGTAGCTAATGTCAGTTCGTAATCGAGACACTAACTCTGTTTATCAACCTAACTCACTTCTTTGCTTGATCTAGAAACAATTAAAATACTCACTATTAGTGTAACTCAGCTTCGTCACTGATGTACTGTCTCTCGACTTCTGGAAGCCTCTAGGCCGGGTCGATCATACTTGTCTTATCAGTTATCTTGTGTAGATACCTATCAAAATGCTTGACTGGTTTTAGTCATGGTCAACTAATATGCTATCCAACGTCACAGTGAACTATCCATCTTTCTGTACTAAGGATTCCCCAAGAACGAAGATATTCGTCTAGGTATCCTCTGGAGTGTTGCTTTTTCGTAATGTGAATCTTTGAAGAGAAGTTAACGACTAAAAGGATAAACTAACGCTTCAGGGGTGTCTGACTTTACCTCTAAGGTGGGTAAACGACCATGGACTTTCTTTAATTCTGTAAAGTGAAAAGCACATCTGTGCCATGATTCGAACTTCGTGTATAACCTAAATAGTTCCCCACTAGAAGTTTCGTTTGTTGAAAAAAATATAGACGTCTTCATTTTTTTGCGGTATAGAGTTATATTCTATCTGTTGCAAAAATCCTTTAGAGGTAACCAATTACTTTGAACAGCGATTTTGATTAGCTTGATAATAGTACTTTCCATTCAGTTTTTAAGTTTCGCTTAACGCGACCTATAGAATGGGAACGTAAGTTCATCCACCCCAAAGGGATATAAATACTTCTAAGATGAAACATGGAATCAGTTCATGAACTCAAACTAAAACCCTGCCAGGAATTCCTTAAAACTCTATCTTTATTCCGTAGAATATAAGGTACTCAGAGGAAGGCTTATTTTGACCTACAACATTCTGTACATCATTGGGAACCATCTGAGTCGCTTACTTCGTTTCTCTTCTAATAAAAAGTCTGAAGGGAGTACTGGGAATCTGAAGTGTTGCGTAGCAGGTCGGACTGAAAACATATATATATATATATATATTACTAGTAGTCAGTGTAAGCTAAATTCGGTTTGAAGTAGCTCAACAAACTTTCCAGGAGTTCCTCAGTGGGCAATTGCATCTCTGTGCTAATGTGGTGTGGTAACTCGAACTGATGCACGTACTTACGAAGTTCTACGTTGTTACTGACTGACTGACAATAAATAGAAATAGCATAATGGCGTGACTATTCTAATAATATGAACTCATTCCTGTAACTTGTTCTAAATAAACTGGAGTAACTCATGTTAATACCGAAGAATATGTGCTTTATGTAAAGATTTATCGTTGTCGCGTAACCTAATTTCTCTGACGAATCAAGATGTTTAGATTCAGAAGACTGAATAGTCATATTCTCAAGTAGGGATTGTTAAGGATACGTATTAGGATATGCCAAAATATGTTCACTACTTTTTATACAACACCGAAACGTCTAAGGGTGGGAAACTGAAAGCCCCAACCTTTTGTTTTAAAGGGGAATGAAATCCCCCTGAAAATTTGTCGTGTTTATTACCTGGTTTATAAAGCCGGTAAGTCATAAGAAAGGTAGAACTTAACATATATGTTCATCAGTTCAAACAACCATACCATGTAAATACAGTTTGTCATAATGAGATAAGGACAGTATTAAGGGACAAGAGTTATGAAATTTACTTTTCAAATAAAAGGTTACAGTGTTTGCTTTATTTAGACACTCATTTTCATTCATTAGTACACATGTGATGAACAGTGTAAAGAACTGGTCACATCGGTTAAAGCGTACGAAAATATGACTTACCTAGAAGTCAATAGAATACTCGATATTTGAAGCAAAAGTTGGTGTCACGTACATTTTTTTTTCATTAGTTGGAGCTTCATGATGATGAGTATACTCACTAATTTTCTCTGAAGGTGCGCGTAATGATCTCAACAAGGAATTGGAATCCCTACCCTGATTTTAAATGTGAGTAACTGTTTAGATCAAAGCTGCATAAATTCACTCGATTAATAAGTGACTGATATGATTAACGATTATTTCTATCGTCGTAGAAAACTGTTAGCAGGCATTTAGTTAGATCATCACTTTATATGTCTTGACACCATTTCAGGTTGTAGGAAGAGGCAAACGATCATACTGTTTCTGGTTCCGTTATTTACTTAGCTTTATTTACATAGTTAACAATCTCTATAAATGATCCGTGAAATGCGGTTCGGTGGAGTGAATAATATGCTTGTTAAGATAAAAAAGCAGCGCTCGAAATCTCACCAACATTTGATGTTACGGGTTCTCAATATTCTGATATCATTCTTTTCATATTTTAGGTATTTGTACATATTTGCTTACATCTGAAGATTTGTTAATTAGCTCAATTTACCCGATATCTGAATCGATTAATTTTATAGCAGGATGAATATTGGGGGAGTTCAAATATAGTGAGTTAGGACTGTAATTAATTATTGGGTTGTAGCTTCATTAAGATCTTTAGACGTGGCTTCGCTGTTATTTCTAACAAGCCTTACAAAGTTTCTATCTTTGATTCATGGAACACATGTAAACATACTGACGGAAATCAGCCAGATTTTCGTAATGTCCCAACAGTGTCCGCTATACTAAGTAAAACAGCACCCTTGGAAAGTACAATTGCACTCCGAAAATGGCAGGATAAAAAGAAAAATGAACTTGGCGAAGATGGGTTTCAGGAGTACATGAGAGGTAAACACCATTAGACAGATGTTTTTGTTAAATAGAACTTCAGCTTTTAGGAAAAAGTGTTCATTCCAGTGTAGAAGCACGACTTATAAAGGGCAAGTTTCCTTCTAATCTACCTGAAAATGTTTCCAAATATTGTGAAAGTCTAAAATATATCTTGGATGATTTAAAGTCTTCTGCAGTAGAAACTAACTGCTTCCATCCTCAGCTTTTGTATCGCGGGAGGTTTGATAGTATAGTGTTTTCAAAGTAGGTTTGGGTTTAACAAACTCGTTAACGTTTTTTTGTTGAATACAAAGTCCGTATGCTTACCAAAGTTTATTAGTATTCCGCGTATCTCTTTTATTGACAAATTTTCTCACAAAATATATTTGTTTGTGAAGGATTCCGTAGCTTAAAACAATTTATTCAAAGTACCTTAGATTCAAGTTTCTTATTTATTGGTCATTTGTTCTCATCTGAAGTTCTTTAGCATATGTCTTACTATAAAGAACTGTTTAGATTTGATTTTCAACCAATCATATATATATCTTATAGCTCATAAATATTACGGCATCTACCCACTCTTCCGTGATCAGTTTTTGTATTTTTCAATGAGAATGTCCGTAGTTGTAACTGATTCAACATATTAATTTAGTAATTCTGTGATGGTGCTATTAACCTATGGAATGCAGTGCCAGCATTTCAAATGGTATCTCTTTTGAGACTATGCAGCTATTAAATATCTTAGTGAAATTGCGGTTTGGTGAGTAAAACACGACTTTTAACTGTAAATCCATCTGTTCTATATACTTCGATTTCATTTGACCTCGCACAAGTTAACTCGAAAGTCAGTATTTAACCATGTACATTTGTTTTCTGATTGACGTTTGAATTAAATATTTGTTGTGCATTTCGATTTAAGAAAAAGGATAGGCAACCGAGTATAAATCATTTTATTCAACTATCAGTTCGTTTGTTTCATTTATCCAACAAAGCATTATTTCTTGACCAAAACTTAGAGATATAAACGAACCTATTTTGACTGAATGGAAAACAGTACACGAATCCAAAAGAATATTGACTATTGAGCAGGCTTATGATAGTCCATTACAAGTTGCCGCGTATATTGGAGCTTATAACTTTACTCGTTATCCTGAATCTTTGCCTGTAAGTTTACATTTTCTAGAATTTTTGCTACTGAAAGCACACTGCTGGCTGTAAATAACATAAAAGGTTTTGGTTTTATTCAAATTCCATTTTATTTAGAGAGCTGTTGAATTTTCGTAGTAATTACGTATTTTTTAAACGAACAGATCTAAATGAATGCGTCAGTCCAAGTTGTCACGCTTCACTTAAACGGAGTGAAAAAAATAAACAAAAGGCAAAGCAAGAAATAAAAAAGTCTCAGTCGTAGTGGAAAACTATAGGAGAGAAATAAGATCTGTGAAATTTGAGGAATGAAAAGTATGCGGTGATACAATATTCATGAATTAGGAAGTCAACTAATAATTAAATCCAACCGTTTGTTACGATTAATTTGTGGGCCATTACGTAAACGTGTGTGCCTTTTTACACGGCTCAAGTTAATGGTAAACGACTCAGTCAGTCAGTACCAACGTAGAACTTCGTACGTACGTACATCAGTTCGAGTTGCCACACCACATTAGCACAGAGATGCAGTGGTCGATTCAAATCCCGTAGTGCTAGATGTAGTAAGATTATAAGCTGTAATCAGAAAAATTAGGGTTTGAAGATGTTATTCAAGGACTATAACCCAGTGAAATAAGTTTGGAAAGAGAAAAAAGAAAGGGAAATGAAGAAATCAGAAGATTAGAATTTGGGAGAACACAAAGAGTGGATGCACCTGCGCCATTGCAAACGATTTTGAGCCATGTCATTCAAGGTCTCTAACCATTGGTTGCTTTCATCTCGCGGTCCCCAACCAGGTAGTCTACACCTACCAATATGACTCAGTCCACTTGTCAGTGACTTCATGAACTTGTGCCATGTTTTGGTCTGGCCACCCCTAGCTTTCTTCCAACCTACTCCTATACCACTGAATATAGCACGTCGAGACAGTCGGTGGTTGGGCATACGTAACACGTGTCCCAGCCATCTCAACTGATGAAGTTTCATCACTTCATCAATTGATTTGCCATCCTTACCTAGTACCCGTTTCCTAACAACTGTGTTACTTACTCGATGGTCCCATGATATACGAGCAATGTTTCGAAGACACTTATGATTGAATACTAGTAGCCTATGAATATCCTCTACTCTTAGCGGCCATGTTTCACTGCCATAAAGTAGGACGGGACGAACTGCTGCGCAGTAAACACGTCCTTTGGTTGATAGACGGATATCTCGCCTACGCCATAAATGACGCAAGTTGGCAAAAGCTAGTCGAACCTTCTGTATCCGTGCTGAGATTTCGTCACACACCAGACCACAAGGGCTGATGAGACTTCCAAGATAAGTGAAGCGATCGACACGCTCAACTACTTCACTCCCTACCACTAGTTCGGGTGTCGATGTAACCCAATCCTGAAGCAACATTTTGCATTTCGAGGGGGAGAATCGCATCCCGAACATGCTTGCATTGTTGCTTAGAGTGGTCAGAAGACTCTGCATTTTGTCAGCGTCTTCACCAAATAAAACTATGTCATCAGCATATTCTAAGTCAACAAGTGAACCTCCCGGTAGAAGTTCAACCCTTGGAAATCTAGACGAGGAAAGTGTTATCTCTAAAGGTACGTCGACGACAAAGTTGAACAAGAATGGAGAGAGTGGACAGCCCTGACGAACACCACTTGAGGTAATCAATTCTGATGACAGTTCGCCATAAGCTCTCACTCTACCAGTTGTGTTCGAGTAGAGAGCCTTTATAAGGTTAATGTACTTCTTTGGTACTCCTTTCAGTGACAAACACTGCCATAGAACCTCACGATCAACAGAGTCGAATGTCGCCTTAAGGTCGAGAAATACTACGATTGTGGGGCGTCTGAACGTGTGTCTGTGTTCTAGAACCTGACGTAGTGTGAATATCTGATCTATACAACCACGTCCAGGTCGAAAACCAGCCTGATTTTCTCTAGTCTGCTCTTCACGAGCTTTGGTTAGGCGTCGAAGTATTATTGAAGCTAATATTTTAGACACTATATTAGTCAAACTGATTCCTCTGTGATTGTCACAAGAGGACTTTTGTCCTTTCTTATAGACTGGCACAATCAGTGATTGAGACCAGTCAGATGGGATTACGTCCAGTTCCCAAATTCTACCTAAGACCTCGGTTAATCTCATTGCTAATACTGGACCACCATCCTTAAAAATCTCAGGAGTAAACCTGTCAGGGCCTGCTGTTCTCCCTCCTTTCAGATTTCTTATGGCTTTTTCAACTTCGTAAAGGGACGGAGGACCTACATTAACTTGCCATTCAGGTTGACTAGAGATCGTGGGAAACCGAAGTGTGTCTGAAGGCCAGTTGAACTGATCCCTAAAGTGTTCTGCCCATCGATCCAATCTCCTGGATTGAGAATGAATAATATGTCCATCTTTCTCTGAGATTGTTTCGCTAACGGTCGGGTTCCTAATTCCGGTTTCCTTAACGAGTCTGAACAATTGTCTGCTATTACCTATTGCCGCTGCCTTTTCCATCTCTCTTGCTTTCGCTACCCACCACTGTTCGCGATCATTGCGTAAACTTCTTGTCAGCTTGCGCTTGAGCTGACTCCGCTCTTCATTATGTTCAGAGTCAGGTGGAATGAGTTTCCGAGCATCTATCAGTGCGATAGATGCTGCTGAGATCCAGTGTTTCTCCCTAATTTTACGGTTTACCTTACTAGCAGATATCACTGCTGTTTCCACAGCTTTTCGGATATCGTTCCATGCTGCCTCGGGGTGGGCATCACATACATGGCTGCCTAACTGTTTTCCTAGTTGTTCCTGAAATATATTCTTAGCTTGACTATCATTAAGTAGGATCCTAAGAGGTTTTCTTGCAGCGTCTTTCCTACGTCCAGTAAGACGCAGGCAAATACGCGCTCGCACTAGAGCATGATCTGAATCTAAGCATGTGCTCCAGAATGAGCAACAGTCTTCTATCGAGCCCCTCCATCGGTGGCTGATAGCGATGTGATCTATTTGGGTCCAACGTTGGGACGAATTAGGGGGTCCCCATGTTAAAAGATGTTTTTCCTTATGCTTAAAGTTAGTTTGCAAGGAACAAGCGGTTATCTGAGCATAGCTTGAACAGACGGTCGCCATTATCTGTTCTTTGAGCCACGACACCATAAGATCCACCTAGGTGTCTTTCCCTATCGCTTAGTTTACCTACTTAAGCATTAAAGTCACCGGCCACTATTACTACATCCGAGCGCTTAGCTTTTCGGAGAAGGTCGGAAAGCTTTCTGTAAAACTCATCTTTTACATTATCTGAGCTGCAGTCAGTGGGAGAATAGGCAGAGACGACAAAGAGGCAACGACGAGTGTCTCTATCTTTTCGGATCCTTACTGTTCCGTTTAGTCGAACAGCGCACAAACGACTGTCTACTGGGATCCACTCTATGAGAGCTAGTTCTGCCCTAGGACTGAATGCTATTACCTACGCCAGCGAGGCCACGGGAAGCAGCATCAGGGCTTCCAGATACATGAAGCGTAAATCGAGTCGGTTCTTTATTTTGGCATGGTGAGGTCAAATGAATGACGCTACTCGGATCCTGTATGCGCGTTTCGGAGACGCAGCACACATCGATGGCGCGAGATTCTAAAGTCCTAGCTAAGGAAGCCTGCTGTCCTATTTGGCACAGTGTTCGTACGTTAAAAGCTCCTACGTGTAGTTTAGAGCGTGGTTTCAGGAGACCAGGAATAGCGTTCCACGTACTCGAATCGTTTGCCCTAGCGGTGCGAGGTGATAAAGAGACGTGAGGAGGGTTAGTCATGGAGATAAGAGAGGTATTAGGAGGTGTAGGAAGGATTTGAATGTGACCACCTTGGTCTCTTGTGCTGTTACGGGTATGAGGGCTGATATTACTTCCCGGCTGCCCACACCGTGGAAGGGTATTTCTTGAGGAACCTGAAAAGGGAATTGGATTAGTGTTGGTCTTGACGACCTGGGAGCGTGACCGCAGAGCCCAAGGGACAACTGCTTGAGGCCGGTCGCGCACGGCCTTTTTGTGGAAGGTTTTTGACGTGTTAGCTCCGTTCTTCAAAGGGCCTTACCTCCGGAGACGGAAATCCGTGAGGTAAGGTGAGGTGTGACATTTTTAGGGTCGACTTTTTCTAACCCCACCCCTCCTTGTGGATAGGCAGCGTCGCTGCAGATGCTGGTTGTCCGAGGGAAACACCTTACTGCTGTCACACCTCTCTACAGTCAGCAGTACGACTTCGCCCTCAGACCGTGAGTTGCTGCTTTTAGTCTTACCGTTCTCCAATCGACCTGCCTGGCATGGTAGAACCTACAGGAACATATGTTCCAGCCAATATAGCTCGGTTGGGTCATCACGATAGGCAAGCCTGACCACCGCGTCAAGGTAGCAGCTTCGGTCGGGTGGTAAACGACTTGACAGTAAACTCTGTTCCAAATCTGGTCTCACGTATTCTATATGTGGATCACTTCTATATGAGTGTACGTAAATTGACCAACTTTGCCAATATTCACGTTTCAAGATGCACATGGGAAGATGGTATGGGTTCATAGTTTACACTCAGCGTGTGCGAATGTTGCTATCTCATCATTTTGAAGTATGTTACATATCAAAGAACTTAGTTCGTGTCACTGTCTAAAAACAAAAGCATCACCTATTTTCTGCACCAATTATCTGAGTTCTTAGTATTGTGAACGATAAGTGTCAGTTATTATTTAATTCTTATTAGTTTCACACTTGTTAATTACAAATTATAATGTCATCTTACTTGCATTACAGTGTTATGTGTCTCAATAGTTTATTATCTACGCTAATGTCTTGTTTCATGACGAGTTCGCAACGTGGGACTTATTTCAATTTCGCTTCAGTGTGTCATGTCATATGATGTTTTTTCTGTTTTCTGTTCTTCTCAAAACTACTTAGTTGTAAGCATTTAAGGTATATATGTATTGTTTTGTATGTAGAATAAATGTAACACTAGACTTTGAGATTTCCACTAACACGTTAATCTACATACTCTTGAGTACTTGCTTTTCCTATTTTTATTCAATTTACTGTGTAAAGGCATAACTGTTTTTATGACTGGCATTTCTTTCTTGTAGGTGTTGACGAGTAAAATTAAAACAAAGGGTTCGTCTAGTTATCTTAAGCTGCTTTAGGCTGAACTGTTTGACAGTCGAAATAATTGTTTAAGGAAAAACTTAATTCTTAACTTGATGCACGTAAGTTCACTTTTGACTTTGAACATAAAGACTTGTTAATCTGCGCAATCTAGAAATGCAAATAGTTTAAGACCATACACGGAGGCGTTGCTAGCAAAACAAGTGACGAATTTGTTGTTTGTTACAAAACAATGGAGAGATCTGGTTGTTAAATAAGTCAACGTCTGATCTCGTGATGTAATGGTTGTAATTACTTAGTGTTTAGTGTACTACAACCGCACATTGGTTTACAGCTTATATGATATTTACATACAGCTCTTAAAACTTAGTTAAATCAATCCAGTTATGAAAACGATGGAACTTCCCGTATACTTAAGATTATTTTATTGGCTCTATATGTTTCTGGGAAGCTCATCCACCATATATCCATCTAAAAATATGCTTATAATTTTTAACCGCGTTTCTTAGCATCTAATTCATTGTTATTTCAAAATAGGTGACAATGTATTTTGAATCTAACTTAGGTCAAAAAAGGAATGCTGGTGTATTCTTATGGTGATGGTTATCCAGCTGCTCGGTTTGTTTTAAACGAAACTAACTTGTTACATTACTGGGAGTTGTGGTGTGAACGTGTTCAAGCTTATTATGATCAGGTAAATTGTTTAGCATGTTTGGTTGACCTTTGTTGTGCAGTACTAAATTTTAAAATTTCCTCAGGTTCATGTTTATTTTTCGGAAATTAATATCTTTTTCGACAATCTTTTTGTGATAATGTGCCGTATTAGTTATTTTACGTATGTTATCAATCCGCGGTAACTATCTCTAACTCTACCGCACCATTTATAGTTTATTCTAACTGTACCGTACATTACATCTCTCTACTTTCTCTCCGTCATATGTGTAAAATATTCTTACGATGCTGATAATTATTAGGCTAGCTAATTTGCTTAGAAAATTGCTATGCAATTGTTATGCAATAAAAATCTCATCTGGAAGACGTAAAAAAATATGGTAATGATCTTAACGCTTTTATTCACTAGGACATGTGTTTTTTTACGGTCCAATCTTTGTCTTTCGTTTTCTTTCTGTATGTGTAAAAGAAAAAACAACATCGGAGAAAAACAAATCTAAACAGAATAAAAGTTAATAGAAGTGTAGACAAAGCTGTAATGTGTGTGAATGAGTAGTTTTAACTGCTTGGTTATTAATTAAATTTTGATATCATTACTGGAGATGATGATATGCTGATAATGATAATAGTAACAATAAGTGTGTAATGTAGAAATGATGATGAAAGTAATGATGAGTGTACTGTTACCTACATTTTGAATTTTAAATATATAAGTATGTGTATTTATCTGTGTAGAATAGGATGAGATGTGAAATGCTGTATAGTTGGCCATGTGACTGGTCCATGACTATCACTGTTACTATTGCCATTTGACCAAGTGTTCTGCTTTTTAGGAATATTGTAAAACTGTTCAGTAGTGTTAGTGTTATTACATTGTTGATAATAACAAGTGTACAATGGTATGTTTTCATTCGATTCAGTTAGTAAATGTGTCAATAAAATATCGTCATTATTATTATCACTATTATTATTATTGTCATTATTATTATTAGTAGTACAACATATTTCATTATTTAAACTCTTTTCATCACATATTATTTGATGATGCTGATGATTCGAGTTCTCTATTTGTTGTTTTATTATATTTTCAATTGTTCTCGGTGCATTATTCTGATTGTATTCGTGTTTCATTTTGATCGTATCAGATTCATATTGATTATTCAACTGATTATCAATTATTTGTGATGATGTCATGTTTTCTCGCATGATTATTACCTCTTTTTTATCACCATTCTCCAATTGGTTTAATTTATTTTGTTGTTTATCAATTGAATTCATGTGTTTATTATTCATAGTTAAAACAGTTGTTATTGTAGTCTTATCTTGTGAACTGTTATAATCATTTACTGTTATTGGACTAGGTGAACAACAAGGCGATGAACATGTAGTAGAATAATACGAATTAAATGTTACATTATGCATAAAAATATTTGGTGTAGATGGTTCACTTTTTATATGTGATATACATTGACTATTATTATTATTGTTATTATCATTGTTATAAGTAATATGTTTATTGTTATTGTTATTATTTTGGTGATGATAATTAGTATCCATTGATAATATTAAATTTTTTAATAAAATTTTTTTTGAACTTTTTTGTTGATTTATTGATTTACAGTTTGTTTTATCTTGTGAACTAGATGTTGTTATTTCTTTTATTGTTTTAATATTATTTCTTTTATTGTTGTCATATTGTTGTAGAATTGTATCTTTTATATGTTTACTTTCAATTATTTGATGATCTTCAACATTATTAATATTACAATTGTTACTATCATCATTTATAGAAAGTGATTTAATTAAAGTTGACTGATTTTGTTGTTTTTTCAATGTATAATTTGTTTCATTCAATGATTTCAATCTAATAATTACAGGTGAATTAGTAATTTTTGCTACAGTTGTATTCATTGTTGGAAGTATATAATCATTAAATTTTTTAATAGGACTATAACTTTTACTATTTTGATTTTCATAATTAACAGTATTATGATGATGATCATTTGAATTAACAAGTTCATTTAATTTAGTGTTGGATATTGTTGATGACGGTTGAATTAACTTTATATCATCATTGTTGATGATAGTGTTCTCTCGTTTGTTTGCTTTCAAATGTTGAATATATTGGTGATGATGCTGACGATAACGATGATGTATAGATTTGGAATTACATTCATTTTCTGATACTTTTGTTATTTTTGTTGTGGATGGCATTGATGTCAAGTTATAATTCGCTCGATTATTTGTTTTATAAGATTCTTTTAATATTAAAACTGGTGAAGAGGATGGTGACACTGATGACGATGATGACGACGTTGATACTGAAATAGGTGATTTTATTGATGCTTCTAATTCCGATTGATCCTTGTTATAATCATGTAGTGATTTTACTAGAAAAGGTTTAACACGTGAATAACACCGTTGGTAATAGCGACGATATCTTGACCGTGTTTTCGGTGCAGTAGTAGTCGTAGTATACTGATGGTAATCGCTTTTGCGTTTATATTGATGGCGATGACGATGATCATACCGACTTTTCATTAAATAACATCCAATTAAGATAGAAATTGGTAATCCAAATATACAAATTAATATTATGCTAAATATTAAAATATACATTTTCAGTGTTAATTTAAGTCTCATTTCTGTAGAAATATTTGCTTGTTCATTGTTTAAATAGTGAGGATTTGTTTGATTATTTGCTTGAATAAAAATCTTTTCCTGACTTTTTAACTCATTCTGACTTAGTTGCTTAGTTATGTGTATGGTATTTGTCTTTTCATTGCCTAAATAAAAATTTGAAGGAATTAAAAAAAAGTAGGATTGTTAAATAATTTTCTTGTAGTTGCGAAAGTAAATAAAGAAGCTAGACTGGATTATTCTGGAGATAATTTGCTAGTGGATACTGTGACTCAGTAGTTAAATCGCTTGATTTTCAGTCCCTATGTTGCTTATTCGAACTCCGCTCCATCTGCTTCGGTCTAGGCAATTGGGTAATATTAACCCTTTCACTTAAAATGTGGCTCGAAGCCAATTACATATGTCTTGACCTGATAAATGAAATAGTAGTAAAATTATTTTGTAATGCTTGTTTTTTGTATTTGTTATTCAAACAATCTTTTGTTTGATTAATTTTTATGTGAATACTCGTAGTATTTGCTTGTTTGTCCCTTATAAGAATAAGGTTCATATACAAAATTATTTGTTTATAATAATGTAGCTTGTAAAGTTCATTTTTATAAATGTTCATAGAATATTGATGAATCCTAGTCCTTTTTTCCCTGCTGAAGTTACTTGAATTAAGTACAAATAAAGTACAGTTGGAAACTCTGGGTGACAAGGCTCAGAATCAAGTGTATACACTCACTGTCTCCCCTTAAACCGTGAGATTAAGATAGTTTTATACCTTTCTTTCTACGAACTAATTCCTTCTCCCTATATCATATCCTTATATGCAATCTCTTTTTAAATATATTACTACTATTGAAGTAACTACTTTTGTAAACTCGATGTTCATCTTGTTGTGCTAATGAAGTATGGCAATTTAGATCAATGTATATAATGTGCCTGGTCCTACGTTGTAGATGACTGACTGACCGACAAATACAGTAACAATATGGCTGAAGGCATAGTAGTCTTAATTTCTTGAGTGTATTTATGTGATAAGTAAACTTGCTTATTTTTCTCTGATTTTAAGTGAATAAGTATAACATTCACCTGCATATACAAAATCCAAATATGTACTAAACTGATGAATCATTAATGTATATTTTTGAGTGAATTATTATTAGTAAGCAAACACTTTTTATTTTGATTATATTTTATTTTGTTTTAGTGCAACAATCCTTCTAATGAAGAATGAGAATTGAAATTTTGGATGCGTACACAAAATATATCCATATCTACTTGTTGCAATATCATCATTTTATCAGTGGTTTAAATGAAATAAGAGAAACATTATTTTTTAAAACTATATATGCATTTAATTGGAATTTATAATTGTATATACAATTACTAATTCATAGTTTGCTTAATTCTTATTTGCTATTCTCTTCTATAGATAGTTGACTGCTTCAGTTTGCCGATGTGTAACGTTCGTTAATTGGTCGACTTAGCTAACTTCTCTCTTTCTCATACACATACCAATCATTTGCACCAACAAGAATTTATTAAAGGTTTTAGGAATGAATTCAGACATGAGCCACGTGGTAAATCATTCATATAACTGTCTGTTTTTCAATAATTTCCTATGAAATGTTAAGCAGTAACTATGCATCTCCAGATAACTACAGTTGAGTTTCTTTCAAGTAACACGGTATTTGACGGAGAGTAATCCTTGGCAGTTTTTCAAATTGTTTTCAAAAGATAGAAACACAAGAGCACTTTATCTAGTTGTCTATTTCGTACTGGGAAGATTACGTTATAATTATTTAAAACATTAAATAAGATAATCGGTAGTAGATGTGAACTAAGTACTTTTTGGTGGTTTTTCACCATGTCTTACGATTTAGTAGTACAATGTCAATCGCTGCCTATTTTTAATTCCTAAGCTTAAGATGGTCCTCTTACAACTTAATGGTCATGTGTTTGGTTTTATAATTAATCATTTATGCCTTTTCAACAGTTTTAGATTTCTGAAATAGCTCTTAATTGTCTATGACGTTACATGGTACAGGAAAAAAGATTTCAACGTGATAGGTGCATCGGTTTTGATTATCACTGTAACTGTTCTGAAAAAGATATGAATAAGTAAATAGGAAAGTATATATAAGCTAAACTGGTAGATGTGGAGTATTAATATGTTCAGGGCTTACAAAGTCTGTGGTGTCAGTCCCATTATCATCAATCTTCAGTTATGTTACTTAGATCTTCAACCATTAATTCATAACATCTCGATAATCAGTGTTGATTTACTCGACACGATACGAATGTAAAGTCACTGATTTTATGGATTGTTGTCATGTTTTGATCTGAGCTCCTTCCATAATTTTATTATTGTTGAGGATTGTTCAGAGTGTATCACAACACCATTTCCTTGTATTTAACTAAGTCAAATTTCCGTTCATTCTAAGTGATACTGTGGTGTGTGCCACTGAATTCAACAGATATAAGCAGTATGTATCATCAAACGCATGTGAAATGTCTGACGGCAGAAGGTTAAGGAGATTGAAAAAAGAACGAGAACAGAGAATGATTGGTGTGGAAACGAAGGAACAATCAAATCTGAGACGATTGATTGATATTTTACAAATGGAAGTATTTACTGTATGGTTCTCATATTGTATTAAGCTGTTCTGTAATTTTATATTCAAATACACTCGATTGTCCCACTTGTATTCTCGTTCACTACAGTACTAACAATTTATTTCTCTGAAATAAGTTGTTACACTTCAAGGGTTACCCCCTTTGACCTATTTCCAGGTGTTACAGGGAACCAAACTGTCTGTTATGCAGTGGTCTATTTGCGGAATTCATCGATTAATTTCAAAGTCCTCTAGATCATCCGAAACACGAAACGTCAGAAAAATTAAATTTTCATACCCGTTGGGATATCACGTATTAGTTTTATTAATAACAATTTACCCGATGCTCAGTTTATTTGAAATTATGCGTCAAACCTTGATAATGACACTTAACCATCAGACAGCTTATAATTGAACAATCGAATTATTAAACTTTTAGGTTCAAGGTTCAGCGCGTTAGTGTAACCCTATACAATTAATTATCACATTAGTATTGTTTGTACACACTAATAATAAAGTATAAAATATGATTCTACTTACATCGTTCACAGCATTTATCTCTTGGCGGGAGTAATATATGTCTTAAATTCTCAATAGATTCCACAGATTGTTCACATGGTGGGCAGTGATCTGTGCAGACCCATCTATTGTCCTTGGCACATATACACAGTAAACTACGACATGTACGAAATAATAAAAGACGAGATCCAAAAGGAAAGACATCTGGATATTGTATAATATTTTCATTGTCTATCAGTGATGAGCATCCAGTGTTACGTGGTGTTAACGATGATGATGGCTTTTGTGGAATAGTTTCATTCATTAATATCTGGATCATTTTATTTTGTTGCTTCACGGAATCAGTATTCAACTCATCATTCTTTTGAATATCCTGCTTGAAACTGTTTGGTTTTTCTCTATCTGAACGATGTTAACGAATGGATAGAAATTAATGATAGAAAGTTAGCTATTTGGTAGTGAATCTAACTGCACAGAACGAATTAAACACTTAGGGGTTCAAACCTTGAAGTTACTGGTTGAAGGCTAAGAATTCAAACAATCACAAAGTGTAGCCAATAGTATAATATCGTTAGAATTACTCCGTAAATCCTGGGAAATACTGATACGCAGTCATTGGGCAAGTAAATTAAGACCTAGTGAATTCGTGTACATGAACGCTTCTCACAAAGTCACACTGTCCAATCAGGATTGCTGTTGAGTAGCATCGTGGATACAGAATTTAGATACGTCGGATGTAATGTTTTATAAATAAATCTGGATTTTGAGTACGTGACAGTGGAGCTTAAATAATCCAGTCAATATCAACAATGACGTTAAGTAAACCTCAATTGTCACCATATACCATACTCGTCGAAAGTATGGTGGTAGTCGTAAGTACTGCTTTGGCGTTTGAAGCAAGGGATACTGAATTTAAATCAGTTGATATATAAATAGTAAGATACAGGTAATTCCAAACCATATTTCTTTAATAGGGCAGAACGCCGTCCTGGATTTGTCGCCAGTCACTATTCAAAATAGTCATTTAAAAACTATTATTAGAATATAACGATTTGAAATGTATTACGAAAACTAGTAATCTTAGCAATATTCACAGAGATCGATTGGGTACCGATTATGAATATCGACGTTTAATTTACTTCTTGATTTATTGGATACTGCTTAGACACCATCACTCCCTTATCCTTTTCTCAGACTAGCTGAGGGTAAATGCAGATGACAACCAATATCAAAGTTGCAAAATCTCGACAAAAATATCACCTTCATGGAATGATGATCATATGTCGACCCGAAGTCCTAAATTTGAGTTGTATTTTATGGAATGAGTTGTCTTCCCTGTCAACATTACATATTTGCGTATAGGGTTTGTGGAGATTGTTGAATCTTGTGATTTTACATCTCAAACTTAATTTATTTGGACAATTATTAAACACTAAGGAGCACTAGCCAACTGCTTATGGGATTGGATTGCCCAATAGTTAACACCTTCGACCCCGCCAGTGCTCGAACCAAGGACCATAAGAGTTTCCATGGAGCGCTTTACTTTTACACCATTGACTTGACATCCTAGCTGAGGTCGGTTCGTGATTTAAGATTACGTGTTAAATATGTTTGATATTTAAATAAGAGAGGAATGATCGATATGACTTACTAGACGTAAGTGTAATTGGCTTTTATGAATTATAAACTGACTATTTAAATAACTTACTTTTTTGAGAGGGTAGAGCGCAGTATGAAGGGCAGCATTCATCTTCACTTGCCATTGGTATCTGTTCAGGTGGACAGAGAAATAATTGTTGACATGATTGTCGTTTACAACGATATGTTCGGTTTATTTCACATATACATTCAGTACAATGATCAAAACTTGGAATCCATCGTGTTCCAACTGCATGATATGTAATTTCTTGTCCATCCATATAAAAACAATCATCCTCATGCCAGATTAGGCGACCTATGCTTTTTGTTGAGTACGGAAATAATAAAAAAGAAATGCTTTTATTAGGTAATTATTAGAATATAGTTTAAAACAGTTTGCCCTTATTAATTATATTTTTGTGGGTTAACTACAATAATTCCATCATTCTCTTCTTACAATAATTAGTTTTATGACAAATCATATTTATACTTAATCTCGTAGTTTATAAGTTAAAGAGTAAAGTTTTTATTTAGCAAATGCATCTATCATACAACAACTGAATTGACAGGTTATTTATCTAAATGTACCTATATTTCAGAGTCGAATTAATCATGTCCAAATAATTCATTGACATAGCTTTAACATTATAAAATGGTAAACAATTCCCCAACTTAGTTCAATAAATTAATACTGACTCCGTTAGTTTTAACCTACTTAACTAGCTAAACATGAACGGTCAGTCATCTATGGAATTTATTTCCAGTCCTCACTGAATAAATAGTTTAGTAGTTTAACATTTGTTCATTTCTGTACTTAACATTTTATTCCCTCCAGACAGTTAATGTATTTTACTGGATTATTGTTTGTCTTATAAGTACAATATATAGGAAAGCTTAAAATCAGTATCACCAGATACTTTCACATTAACTCATCCCAAGTTTTATCACTCATACTATTCCAAAAATTATTTGATCCCTTGATTTTTAAACTACATACTAAACTGATTATCGTGCTTACAAAAAGTTAAATTGCAAATTTCCAAGGTGTTTTTCTATTCAGATTTTAATTTTTTATTATTTTCACTTCAGAATCAAGACATTTAATCTTACTATATTCTGTGAAAGATTATTCTAAAGGTTTATTAGATGAAATTATTAATAGCTGATCATTGGATTGAAACTTAAATTATGTGACGGAATTATTTCAAAACAATATGAAGTTACTGCTACATGTTATCTAAATCTTTTTAAATTTAGTATTATGATTTACTTTTTCAGGAAATAAGTTATTACACATAAATAAATGTAGTTGTTGTACTTACTTACTCAATTGCTTATTCATCATTCAAAAATGATTTAACCTAAGTACAACTAGGATTCTGTTGGTACTAGGTAATTGTTTATTTTCTGTAGTTAAAAATTTATAAGAACTTCACATTTTTAACTCATTTCACGATCCGACCTAATAAGCTCAAATTCTGTGGTCTAGATTCACCATAAATCTAATAGTTCATACTTTCTTATGTCAATAATATTTAATCGGCTACTTGTATTTTTAATAATAAGTAGTATTCAGCACTATATCCGCCTCCAAAATGCCATGGTACGGCCGAGGATGGGGAGAGTCCGCTCTCTCTCACGAAATGCTCTCACATGGCCACGTGCATACAACCACTGCCATAGAAGTCCTACTCACTGCCTTCTCCAGGCGGTGGTGTTCTTTACAAAATTAAGAGGACAAAAAGCGAAAGTCCGACACTGGACACGGAGAGTTCACCTAGGGGAGTTGAAAAACCCTGAAATCAAACTAATAGTGCAGATGGGCTCCAGGATCCTAAGGGAAAAAGTGGAGAATGAAGCAATTATTGGACACTGGCTACCATAGGACTAGATCACCTTACGTTGCTTCATTGCCTTGTGGATCACATCGTTAGGTCGAAGACTTGGGGTATGGCCCCCTAAGAAAACCACCTGCTTCAGTCTAGGCACCCGGGCAGTATCACAGCCTACACAAATCAAATGAGATTTGTGTGGCACATATGTTTTCGGTGCCCTTTTGTACCAATATTTATGTGTTCAAATAAATATTAAAAAATAATCACTATATCCAACTTGATTTTTCTCACAATATACAAGTTTATTATATGTGTACACATATGTAGAAAATGATAACGACATAATATTTCAAAATCATTTCACCTGGCCTTGGGCAATAAATACTTGCATTTAAACAAAAACAATGTCCTTGTTCCAATACTATCTGTTGTCCAGGTTGAATTGTAATTATTTCTGTATTCACTTTACTATTGATATTTGTAATTGGTTCAAATAATAATTTTTCTTGTTGATTATTTAATGATTGTGACCATTCGGTTGAATTCAAATCAAGTCTTTTAAATGTATCTATAGTTTTTTCATTTGGATTGGATAACCAATTTTTCATATCAATATTTACTGAACATGTTTGATCACCTAAGAAAATGTATGCATAATTCATTTTTCATTTAATTGTTAGATTTTTCTAAATGTAAACTTTACTATGAATTGTAATTACTATAAAAACATAGTTTATTATTATGAAAATAAAAGTAGGATCTTTATCAAGAAGAGATTGAAAAGAAAATTCTAAGTTAGTTTACATCATAAACTCATATCGTTTGGAGAATTTGAGAAAACTAAAGAGTATTGAATAAATGTTATGTCTTAATTCGTATTTTTTCTCTCTTTCACTAGTACATGCCAACAATTTCACACTTGATTAAACACAAGACTTTCATATTTGAAATAAAAATATATGGATCATTGAATTTCTTATTAATTTTCTCAAGATTTTATATTCACCATGACAAGTGATAGATCTAAGTTGGGCTTTAAAAAGGTTTAAGAGGCTTGACAAGCCTTAGATTAAGTCAAAGCAGATGTCGAATTCTATTCATGTCAGTTTATGACTAAAGTTGTCATCAGACTAAGAGGATATTCTCAAATCATGATAGTAAGAAAATGATTCAATAAAATCAACACTGACAACTAAGGGTATTTATGATTACTTCAATAAACGATTCTCATCACATTGTATAAGAGTTGAAAGCCAAATGGAATTTAAATGTTAATGATTGAATAATTCGTTGTAAGAATTTGATAAAATATTTTTTCACTTATATGTAACCACATTGATGTTATTATATTAGCACAAGCCAAAATACTGAAAATAGGATGCTAAATATCAAACACTACAATGTTGGTTATTCTATATGAAGGGAGGTGAAACCAACAATTTGTTTAACTTTTGAGATTTATGAATGCAAAATCTTGCCCATAGGATATACATTTTTGGGGTTGTGAATCAGGATACAGAAACTAAGACTTGGGACCATATCTTTGAAGTCACTGGCCACAGATCTGACACATGTGAGGATGTTCAGATTTACAGATTGAGTTCGTTGAGACACTTGTAAATAAAGGTTGTAGACTTGACGTAATATGTAGTGAAGTCTGCTGTAATGTGCATATTTACATTTGTTCTATATTTTATTTTAAATCATGAGTTTTAGTACTAGTTACATTTCTTACTTCCTTATTTTCTTCCATGTTTATGAACTATGATTAATCATAATATGTCCTACTGTGGTGAACGAGAACACAAGTGCGACAATCGAGTGTATTTGAATATAAAATTACAGGACAGCTTAGTACAATATGAGAACCATACAGTAAATACTTCCATTTGCAAAATATCAATCAATCGTCTCAGATTTGATTGTTCCTTCGTTTCCATACCAATCATTCTCTGTTCTCGTTCTCTTTTGTTTAATCTTTTTAACCTTCTGCCGCCAGACATTTCACATGCGTTTGATGATACATACTGCTTATATCTGTCGAATTCAGTAGCACACCACAATACTACTACTTTCGGTTTCTTTCTTTGCATGTCGTCAATTTTCTCGCGGTTAGATGATGCTTAGGTGTAACACCGGTAAACATAAATTTATAACAGGACTTACATTATTTACGAGTTACCAGATATTTTTATAAGTATTTCGATGAAAATAAGTGGTTAATTTAATGTCAAGTCTTATAACTATGAAACCTTAAACGTAAGTCAGCAGTGTTGCTTAGTACTTGGCGTTGTACAGAAGATACAAATGTTATTCTAACAGTCTTAATAAGATTCTTGGAAACAATCGACATTGTTTTTTTAGTTTTCATGAAAGGTAATAATTATAAAATGTTAACATAATGCAAACTGGCAATTAGTCGTGTGACACGTGTTCGAATTCCACTGAAGGAATTAGTTCCCCAAAATTTGGAGGAGCATCTTGTTGGTGAGTGTCAGCTAGTACACAAAAATGTTCATATTTTCTTAACAGCTACCTCCGACAACGTAAAATCACTCCCATATTATTAAGAACAAATTTTATGATAATACTGATAAGGTTATGATCGAAAGAAAATTTTAACGATAGGTAAGTTATCGTATGCATTGTAACATTTCAAGGAATATTGCTTATCTTTAATGTGATGTACAGAATGTACCACGAAGTGTGAGCTTCAGTTCGATGCATAATTTGTGCATCTTTATAGGATAGATATTTCATTTCTGATAATTGTCGATGGTCTCACGTTTTTTAATCCTTACAAAATGTGATATTGTGAAACTGAATTATGAATTGCGCTACCAACAAAATTTTGATGAATTAGAGTATTTGCTGATCATATGAAAAAAATCACTGACTTCAAATATATATTTGTGGCTAGATTGAAGTTGCATCAATAAAATACGAAATTTCTATATAGTTTATAACTTTTACAACAAAATTATTCCTTACCTCGACATCTAGGACAACAAAAAGGATCCCATATTATCATTTCATCTGAAGGGCAAGATAATTCTGATAATGGTGTACAATAATCGAAACAATTCCATCGGCCATTGACGCATTGACATTTTTGATCAACACAAATACCAGTAAGTGTAATCATTTCACCATGTGAATGCAAAGTATCGACACCTATCTTTAAACAACTAGCGAATTCGAAAGTAATATCTTTCGATACTAGGATATAAAAAGAATAAAGAATAAAGTACTGTGTTAGAACAAGAAAACCACTAATTGATGACTTCTTACTTCCTTGTACTTCTAACTTGCTAATTTTTTCCCATTGCATTTCACTTGTATAAATCAACGTTTATTTTAAAGTCTAAGATGTTATACTGTTTATATAATATTGTAAAAAGCTATAGAGTATCAATTTACGAAAGCTTTTATGTTTCTACTGTTGATGTTTACGATTTTATTTGGTCAATCTCTGATGGCACATGTACAAACCAAGTGGATGTATTGGTGTTGCTCATAGTTGCAGGTTTTTATTATTATCAATAATAATGTGAATCTGAAGATTATAAAGTACAGAATTAATTCATTATTTCGTACTTAAAACTGTTAAACAATCTTTGTTGTCACTATAAGAAATGATAAAAAGAGAGTACGTCTGTGGTGTATGCAACTTATGTCTGTCGACATAAGTAGTATGTAACACCGACAAGAAGCCAAAAACTTGGCAACAGAAGGTTATAAATATCAACTCGAAGAAGACAGAAACGGAATTAGAAAGGAATTACGAATCGGAGGAATCATCCAGAATGTGAAAGACAAATGATGGAAATCTGCAAATGAAGTATGGTTCTTGTATTTGACCAAAATACTCTGTAATTTGTACTAAAATACATTGATTGCTCTTACCCCTGTTTTCGCTTATAACACGTCCAAATAAAAAAATATAAGATAAAATATTTCTTACGCTGTTCTCATGAAATAAAGCCAGATGAATAAATTTATTTATGTGAATATTGAATTGTTTGATCAGAAGAGTGAAAGTGAAATATTATTTTAAGGAGACAAATGTAAATATGGTAACTAAAAGTGAATCTAATGAAATGTTTATGATTCCTGATTTTATACTCTTTTAACAATTTTCATATATAACGATGATCTAGAGTTTCATGTCGATTACATCAGATCAGCTGACGTTAAATAGAGTGAATTGAGGTATTAATTCCCTCAAGTTAATGGTTACGTTCAAAACTAATCGATATAAGGGAGTTTTTTTTCAGGAATTTCAAACATCATGAAGCCTTGATAACCTTAAATCAAGCAAAAATAATGACTGAAAAACAAAATGAATCCACCAGATTTAAAGGCTTCTCATCAGCTGCAAACGGCCCACATTTATAATAGGAATATTGTAAAAATGGTATTTGATAAGTCTTCTAGTTGAACGCTAGATTCGGTTCCTAAGCTCTCCTAGTAACCCCCAGGCTAAATCTGCACAGAGAATTGAACACGAGAGAAAAGGCAAGAAATATGAAAGAAACGCTTTTTACTCCAAGGCTCGCTTATCTACAGAAAATCTATAGTATTTTAGATGGGCTTGGGTTTTCGGAAAATTCTGGAACGCTAATAAACATAGTGGCAGTATAGGTTATCATTCAATCAGAAACATGACATGTGACTTTTCACTTTCTAGATGTTTCTGGCATAACTTATATTGAATGCTGACTTGATAAGATGTTTCTCAGCATTTTCAGAGCGTTTTTTGGCTTTTTTCGAAGAATTTTCTGGACATTCCCAACAGTATTACATACCAAACGACTTAAGAAAGAAAGAGAAACAACATATTTAACAAATTAGTTAAGATTGATGGGTATTTATATGTTGAAGATGAAATCATAAAAAGAGAAGAAGGGGGTGAAGTTGTAAGTGATAATAAAGAGACAATGAATAAAAACAAGTTGTTAATAAGTGATGATCAAAGCACCAATTTAACATAACATTAAAGGTAACTTCTTGAGTGAATATCAGTGAGTGATGATCAAAGCACCGATTCGACATAACATTAAATTTAACTTCTTGAGTAAATGTCAGTGGGTTTCTTACTTTAAGTTATAATGAAGAAACAATGTAACTGACTCGAGTTAAAATAATATGATTATTTTACGAGGTTTACCACACTTCTTTTTTGTATGTAAAGGTCAGGTCGAAAGCTTTTGGTAGCAGCGGTCTCTGAGAAACGG